AGATATTAATTTTCAAAAAACTTTACAGGTCATCACATAAAAGGAGTATTGTATTAACTAATGGCCAGGTTCATACATAATGCTAAACTATTGTGGAAACCACCATATGGTCTGCCATCTTGTGTGAACCTTGTCAAAGACTTACCACATGGTACATTTGATTTCTGTGTAACCACAGAGAGAAACAACAGTCTGTTCTATGGTTTCCATATTTTACTATGGCTTGTATTGTGTGAACTCAGAAACCACATTTTTGTGTGGTTTCCATGCTATCATAGAGTCCAATGAAAAGAACAGCTTCCACTGTCAAAATCTACCTACCAGCCACACCAGGAGGAGCTGGCTGAGAACATACTCAGGGGAGAATATGGACCAATGAAGGAGAGGCATGCAAAGTCAGCAGCAGCGCACCCTGGGACTGAATTTCAGTGGTAGGGGCTAGTAGGATCCCTGCCACCATTAGGAGAGATGATGGAGGAGGGTGGAAACCAAGCAAACATGATGTTCACCCAGCTGTCTGAACCCAACAACCAGGTAATGAATCATGCCACATGGTAATCGTATGGTATGGTTTAGTTTATGCATGAAAGCAGCCAATGTCTTATATAATGCCTTTTTAAACACTTTGCCTAAACAGAATGGTAGTGACTAAATTCCTTTATAATCTCTGCCAACCAATTTAGAATAGAGGAGGGATATAAATTTGATAAATAAATTATACTTAATTCAAAATTTCCTCAGTACATGTGTTAATGCTCAAAAGAGTTACCTAAAGGTGGAAAATTACTACTCTAATCAGATCTATATTTAATAGTGCAAGTATTAAGTGGGATTCTTCTTATACAGAAATAAGAAGAAGGAATTTCATAATTTCTGAAGCAGCCATTTCACTTCCATTCTTCAGTACATCCTGGTATATAGGGTAGTTTTCAAAGTGAAGTCTGGTTGACAAACACAGCACAGTGGGGTTGTAAAATGGATTGTATCATTGCAGGTAGAAGACATGATCATTTTGGTAAAGTTCAAGCATTTAGAATAAGGATTCCTACCTAATGCAGTATGGAACCTTCTACCAACTCAGAACTTAATTCCATTTCATTTTGTAGCATGTGCAGGTGTAATAAACCATATAAAATTTTGGTAGAATTGTTCATTTAAAAAAGTGTTATTTTATTATTTTATTTATTTTTATTTTATTTAGTAAACTTCTATGCCGCCCCATTCGCCAAAGCCTCGGGGCGGCTCACAAACATAAATAAACTTCCTTAAAATAATATAAATTAACAGTATAAATTAAGTCACCCTGGCCAAAGAATAAAATGAATAAATACTATTAACAATTAAAATGACATTTGAATAAAAAGGTCTTTGCCTGGCGCCAAAAAACAAATAACGACGGCGCCAGGCGGACCTCTCTGGGGAGCGCATTCCATAGATTGGGCACCACCACAGAGAAAGCCCTCCTCCGAGTACTCACCCTCCTAATTTCCTTCACGGAGGGTTCCCGGAGAAGGGCCTCTCATTAATTTCTTCATCAAAGTTTCTAAGCATAGTGGAGAGCCTTTATGACTTGGTTTACATATAATGACAATGGGTTGTCAATGGGTTGTCATTGAATTATGGGTTGCTGAAACCTAGCACTATGAGTTAACTGCAAACAACTCAGCATTCAAAAGCCAATAACAAACTATAGTTTTTCTTTCTATTTTTTTTAGTTAACAACCCATAATTAAAACTACCCATAATTAAACTTAGTACAGTGTTTGTGCAATGATTCAACATCCCATGATTCAAAAACAACCCATACATGCCCAAACTATGGAATGGGCTGCTGTGAGAGATACATCAGATATCATCAATTGCTATCTTTAAGAGGGAGTTAAAGACATATTTTCGACCAGGCATTACCAGATTAGTTCCCAGACTAATTTTATTTATTACACTTGTTTTTAGTTGAAATTTTAACTATTGTTGGCTTTAATCTCTTTGCAAACTGCCCAGAGTCTATGGGAAGGGGGAAGTATATAAAAATCTAATTAAATAAATACTTGGGGTTGTCACTGTGTGTAAACTAGGACTACAACTGTTTGTTGATTTCCTTACCTTAAGGACATAGCATTAAGCTATGACTGCTGCTGATACAATACACACATTCTGAAGTCTTATAATTGAGAAATAAACATGAATGAAGGGACCAAAAAAGTGCTTTAGATGTGGCTTCCTTTCTACTGCAACTTCAAAAGAACTAAATATAGCCATTCATAACTGCGTTTAGATTCAAACATAGCCTAGTTTTGTTAAGCAAACAAATTTTCCTTTCGCTAAAGCTTAATCAAACCAATGGGGCAAGTCACTATTTGGAAGACAGTCGCCTGCATCCACTCATTAACTAAATATAAAAGAAGAATAAAAAATCATGGCCTGTCAGCTGGCTCCTTTTAACCCAGGTCCAGGAATTCCCAGAGAGCAACCCAAAAGTCAAGGTCCTGGCAGGAGGGGAATCAAATTTATTAGGCAAAATTATCCAAGTATGGACAAGAACTTTATATAAATAAACCCACAGATGAAGCCTAAAAGAATGGAATCTTTGTTACAGTCCAAAGACACTACTTTTCTTGAAAGTTAATTTTCACCTTTTCTTGATTCAAATCTGGCAGTGCCACCAGGCAACCAATTAAATTGCTGCAGGGGCCAGGTCTTGCCTGTAGGCCACAAAATGGGCATTCCCATAGTGGGCTTCACCAAGATGCGTCAAGGTACCCCTGGGTGAACTTTATGTTCTTAATCTACTCTCAAAGACTACCTCATTAAGAGGTAGAGACCTACACTAGCCTGTAGACTATATTGTGATTTCTCCTGAGAAACACTGTACATTTGTAATATTTCACAGAACATTTTTCCGTTTCACTGTGTCCTCACATCAAATTGTCAAGTCATTTTGATCAATAGTCTTCAATCTTATCAGCTTCCTTTCTAAGGACAAACAGAAGATAAAATGTATTGGTCTAGAAGAAAACAAAAGTCTTGGAACCACAGGGTTTTATCTCTGGACGTTTCCTCTCTAAAAATAGGTTCCAAGAGACAGTCATTATTTGGTTCTTGTTCAAATCTCAGTTCAACCACATGGTATACTAGTTCAGACTGGTATATGCCAACCAACTTAGGGATACTGGGGATAGTAATTAAACACATCTGTAGGGCACTAGCTTTGGGAAGGGTGTACTAGTTGGTGTAAGGAAATCTAGGATTTACTAAGGATTTCCACTGCACATTATAGGAATAAACCCCAAATTTAACAGACAAAGGATATACACACACATTTGGAAAAAGTTGCATCATATATTGGAGACTGAGGGCTAGAAAAGGCCCTTCAAATCTGCCCTGGGTTACAAATCCAGATTTGTTGTTACATAAGATCATGGCATCCGGTCCTCTCACTTCCTGGCAAATAGATGGGGAACAAATGGAGGTAGTGACAGATTTTATTTTCCTGGGTTCCAAGATCACCACAGATGGGGACTGCAGCCAAGAAATTAAGAGACGCTTGCTCCTGGGAAGGAAAGCTTTGGCAAATCTAGACAGCATACTAAAAAGCAGAGACATCACCCTGACAACAAATGTGCGTATAGTCAAGGCTATGGTTTTCCCAGTTGCAATGTATGGCTGTGAATGTTGGACCATAAGGAAGGCTGAGCGCCGAAGAATTGAGGCCTTTGAATTGTGGTGCTGGTGGAGACTCCTGAGAGTCCCTTGGACCGCAAGGCGATCAAACCGCCTAGAGGAGATCAACCCTGACTGCTCTTTAGAAGGCCAGATCCTGAAGATGAAACTCAAATACTTTGGCCATCTAATGAGAAGGAAGGACTCACTGGAGAAGAGCCTAATGCTGGGAACAATAGATGGCAAAGAAGAAGGGGACGGCAGAGGATGAGGTGGCTGGATGGAGTCACTGAAGCAGTTGGTGTGAGCTTGAATGGACTCCGGGGGATGGTGAAGGACAGGAAGGCCTGGAGGAATGTTGTCCATGGGGTTGCGATGGGTCGGACACGACTTCGCGAGTAACAACAACAAATAGTCCTCTTCCTCAGAAATATCCGTATTAGGGGAATTATAATACAGAGCCACCTTAACAGGTTGTCAGTAATGAGATAATTTATATAGAACATTTTTACCAAATGCTGTTGCTGCTTATCATAACTTTGTTTGCTCTAGCTTCAATATGAAGTACAGTATAATTATTTAAATGCTCTGTTTGGAATTATTTTTTCCACTAATATTTTTTTTTAAAGTTTCTGAGAGAGAAAAATATACTGGGTTTCCTTTGGTAACAAGTATGCCAAGAAAATCTCGTTTCCTTTCCCCATGATAACTCATCAAGCAGAGGGAAAAAAGGCATATGTGAGAATAGACACTATCCACACCCACCCCCCATCAGCACCTTAAATCCCATGAACAGAAAATTTAATGACAGGCTTAAATATCTCAAATTAATTAGAACTTTAAAGCAGTTCCTTAACTGGATCAAACTCATTAAAAATGGTTGTTTTCACTTGACTGGAAGGCTCCAAAATAGTTAGCCATCTATGAATGACAGAATGGTAAAGTCCTGTTGTGCAAATACCTAAGTAAATAATTAGCACAGTGAATCCTAAAACGATGGAGACACCAGCTTTCAGTTTATGAAATCTTCCCTTCTTTACTCATCACAGGCATTGGAATTGGATTGGAATTCAGATGGATAACAATTGACAGTGCTGCGTTTCAGATAGAAGTATGGACACTAACAACATCCTAAGAAACATACAGTGGCTGAAATGCAAACAAACTGCATGGCACGTTTTTGTGTATGACCAGCTTGCTGCATGGAGACAGACTATGTGGTGCATACCATTAAAGCACTCTCCAAGTAGCAACAACTAAAAGTTTCCGACATCAGTAATCCCTTTCAGGTGGCACTTTATACCCATGCTACAGATTTGTATAGGCAAAAAAATGCATACCTGTAGGATAAGTAACATCTGAATAATTGAAGGAGGAACCCTTGCTCGGGAACGAGACAAAGCATCTTCCAATTTAATATTAAGAGTTATAATATTCCTGAAGTGCAATAAAGCCAGTTGGCGGACAGATGGCTCCTTTCCCTAAGTAAACGAAAACAATCATTGGAACTTTTAAACAATCTGAAGACTGCTTTGAAATTTACTATGTAGAAGCTAGTTTAGCATACCAAAGTCCCACTGATTTAACTGGGAGACTGTTACCTGCGTAACTATTCGCACTGAAACCAGTGAGATGCGAAATGGTATCATGTTCCTTTGTTCTGTTTTAGGTTTTAAGCATTTATAGAAAGTATCTAACTTTTCTACTTTTAAATGCTTCTGATGACCTTCTACAATACAAATTTTTATCAACACATCAAATCCTTGAAAAGTGGAGAAGTCCACAAAAGAATGTAAAAAAATATCCTGTGCTGTACAACTCTTGAACAATATACAACCCAATATATTTTACATTAAAGTTAAAAGCAGAGTTTCTCAAACCTTATTGGCATCCTATATGCATGATTTTTAAAAAAATATATAATGTATATTTTATTGGGAGTTTTTGAAGGAAGCTTTTTGAAGTAACCAAGCATTTATGGGAACAACACCATTCAAAGTATTCTCGAAATATTTGTTTCAATTGAAAAACATATTTATGCTAGAATCTATGAAAAAACTGATCTACTTCCCATATAAAAATTTGCACAGTAATTAAATGTCTTATTTCTGTCGTTTTGCAATGTAAATATATATGTCAAATGGCTTGCCAGACTGCGTGATGTGGTAACAGGCAGAGCTCTTCAAAAGCCACAGGTTCCAATATTCCTTGGGTATGCAGAACAAGTTGCACAATATTTTGGATCTTGGCCAGTAACTGGAGGTACTGAGCATAGCTAGGTAGGGAGAATGGGTGGACTTTTTGAAACTCAAAGCTGCAATTTTCTACTGACAGCTGGGATGTGACATCACACAGAGAAATATGCCGGCACAGGGAATTTCCACGTTTTAAAGTTTCCCCGATTTGCTAGAGTACTTTCTCATCCAAATTAGTGTTTGTTTTCCCACTGTGACTGGTGAAACATTGTTGTTCAACCAGCAGAGTTGCTTCTTCTGGTTTTTCTGGATCCTAAAGTAATAGAGTCATAGTTTACCTGCACAGGATAGAATATAGCCTGAAGCATGGGCAGGACGTCACTGAAAAAGAAATCCCACGTTTCAGCCAACGTATCCAACAGTTTCTGACCTAAAAATTGAATGAAAAAAGTTAGTCAAAGTTCGAAGGATGTTTCAAACAAAAATAGTTAGTATACAGGTAGAAAAACAAAATGCCAAATACTTCATCTCACTTTTGAGCTGTGCAAGTGTGTAAGTTTATCACCCTCTTTAAAGTACATGCATGAGAGGTGATTGTGACTGTGCTTGGCATATCCTTTAAAGAGGCAATCAGGTAAAGCACAGATATGCATAGCATTCAGAATGCATTTTGCATGTGAATGGTCTTAACAAGACATATGTAGTGGATGGTAGATATTCATTAGGAAAACTTGTAGTTATAGATATGGGAATCTCCTTCAAAACATTACAGAGGTGAGGGACATAGTATTAAGGCGTTCACATGTTCCCCACCTAGTCATTAAGGAAAGTTCATGGAGAGAAAGAGTTATTTGTTGAGTAAATTGTGACTCAGCCTTAATAAGAGCCAACTGCTGCCTCAATCTGGTTGGTTTTGTTTGGGCTGTATATAGTGAAACTCAGATCATTTTGCCCAACACGTCAGAGTGTAGTTGCAGCAGCTGAGGATGCATGTGCATAGATATATTTTTTGAAAAGCTGAAATAGAATTGACCAGCTGAATTCCATTTTTTTTTAAAAGGATGTATGTACACCATTTGACCATTTCCATGATCAAGCTGGACAATTGTACCTAAAACCCACAGGTATATCGTTCCTAGAAAAGGCAGAAACAACATTTTTGGTTCTGTGGTTACATTTGATTTTTCAAAATATTTTTATTGTGAAAAGTCAACAAAATAAAAGAGGAAAAGAAAAACTATAGCTGCATAAATTTGAGTATATCAATTCAAATCAAATATATTCCTTCCCACCCTCAGTTTTAATATATGCACAGGAAATGTTCATATTGGACACACAATGTAACAAATGCAGGCCAAATGTCTATAAAAGTATCTATTTGCAAGGGGTCTCTATATATTTGTCTATTCAAATGCTGGAAGCATCATTAAGTCTTCAATCCATTTCATTAAAAAGGTTGAGAATTAATCCTTCCAATACTGTAATATCAGTCCTTTAGCTGTCCAAAGGGCATTTGGAGATTTGAGAACTGTCCTAGGGGCCTTTAGCTGCCAAAGGACAAGTAACCTGCCCAATTTCTAAGCATGAGCCAATGCTAGAGTCTGAACACCAAGGCTCCAAACTTTCCTATGAACCTGTTTTCCCAACTGCTGGTCAGCTTTTTTCCTGGGCTGTTTACTGTTTTGTATTATACTGAGAAAGGCGACTGAAGATGTACTGGTACATAAGGTAAAGGTTTCCCCATGCCATTAAAGTCCAGTCATGTCTGACTCTTGGGGGTGGTGCTCATCTCCGTTTCCTAGCTGAGGGAGCCAGTGTTTGTCCGCAGACAGCTTCTGTGGTCATGTGGCCAGCATGACTAAACAAAGTGCACGAAATGCTGTTAGCTTCCCACCGAAGTGGTACCTTTTCATCTACTTGCATTTGCGTGCTTTTAAACTGTATGGTTGACAGGAGCTGGGATGGAGCAATGGAAACTCACCCCGTCTGAGGATTCGAACTGTTCACCTTTTGATCAACCAGCCCAGCAGCTCAGTGGTTTAACCCATTGTGCCAATGCATCCCTTTGGTAGTGGTTGTTGTTGTTAGTCGCGAAGTCACGTCCAACCCATCGCGACCCCATGGGCAACATTCCTCCAGGCCTTTCTGTCCTCCACCATCCCCTGGAGTCCACTTAAGCTCACACCAACTGCTTCAGTGACTCCATCTAACCACCTCACCCTCTGCCGTACCCTTCTTCTTTGCCATCTATTGTTCCCAGCATTAGGCTCTTCTCCAGGGAGTCCTTCCTTCTCATTAGGTGGCCAAAGTATTTGAGTTTCATCTTCAGGATCTGGCCTTCTAAAGAGTCAGGGTTGATCTCCTCTAGGACCGACTGGTTGGATCACCTTGAGGTCCAAGGGACTCGCAGAAGTCTCTTCCAGCACCACAATTCAAAGGCCTCAATTCTTTGGTGCTCAGCCTTCCTTATGGTCCAGCTTTCACAGCCATACATTATAACTGGGAAAACCATAGCCTAGACTATATGCATTTTTGTTGGCAGGGTGATGTCTCTGCTTTTTAGTATGCTGTCTAGATTTGCCATAGCTTTCCTCCCCAGGAGCAAGCGTCTCTTAATTTCTTGGCTGCAGTCCTCATCTGTGGTGATCTTGGAACCCAGGAAAATAAAATCTGTCACTACCTCCATTTCTTTCCCATCTATTTGCCAGGAAGTGAGAGGACTGGATGCCATGATCTTAGTTTTCTTAATGTTGAGTTTCAAGCCAACTTTTGCGCTCTCCTCCTTCACCCGCACCAAGAGGCTCTTTAGTTCCTCTTCACTTTCTGCCATTAGAGTGGTATCATCTGCATATCTGAGGTTGTTGATATTTCTCCCAGCAATCTTAATTCCAACTGGTGATTCATTGGTACTGGTACATACAGACTACATATTGTCTGTCCCAGCTTATGCTGCTGTTTTCTAATTTGGGGAGGCTCACTAATTCAGGGGCTGAGACCCCTCTCCCTAAAGTCTAAAACAGAATGTCAAGACTCCCACTGCAGTCTGCCTGGATGGGAGACTGCCCTATAAGCAGTATGGAAGAAGAGCAAAGTCAAAGCAAAATAATATTTTCAGCAACTTGGCTCGCCCAGTTTCCCCTAACATTCACATGGCTATGTAATCATAAAGAGGTTTATAATTTGAGTAAAAGGTAAATGGCCACCCTGGAGGCTGCAGCTTGCTCAGCTGTTGCGCCAGACAAATTTCATTTCCTCGTTCAGCAGGCAGGAACATTACATGACTGCTCAGGCAGAAGCAGGCTGTTATTAGGGGTTCTGGTCTGATGCCATTTGAATGAAGAGTTTTGATTTTGATGTTCATTTGGATGAGGCTCAGTGGACATACTATATGTCCTGATTACCTTCATAAAACCGGATCTTGTCCCTCAGGATCACCATGCCTTTTGTAAGCAGCTGGTTCTGTAAATACAACATAAAATAACTCTTCATTTCTTTTATTCTATAGTCCTGATTATTGCTCTTGCATTTTTACCATGAGATATTCTCTCTCTGCGTTTCTTTTTCAAAAGTAGCTCATAGATTTGACTTTTGAACTAACAGTTTAACGTCATTTTAAAATATCAGTTTTAATGCTGTACAGCTGCTATACTTATATGCTGATTCAATTACTATCATGTTTTTGTTGTTTTAAGGTAATTCTACCTTGTATGTGTGTTGCTGTGTTTTAAATTTTTTCTTAATTTTTGCTGACCACCCAGAAAGCCTCAGCTTTGGGTGGTATAAAAGGGAAATAAATAAAAGTGGATCACAATAGAGATATTAACCTTTGATGATGGCAAGATAACGCTTTAAAACAATCAAGATTTATCAGAATTAGATAGAGTACATCTTACTGTCCTGTACAGCTTGCAGGAGGTAATCACAGGAGGTAATCACATGTGGGTCCAACCTGTACTGCTCTCTCTGATTTTTAAACATTGTATTGACAGACTGATGTCACACTGATGTCTGTCCACATCTTACCACACTGATGTCTGTCAAGAAAGTGCTATACTACAGAGGATTTGAGGACATGTTCTGGGGTGCTCACATAACTTACATGGGGCATCACTGTTGCCCCACAGTACTCCTGGGGCAACCCCCTCCCCCCGGGATGTCCACTGGGATATGGGCAAGAGTGAAGTAGTATGAAGCAGTATTAATTTGGGTGAGTACATACCTGCTATCAGAAGTAGCATGGTTCAGACTCAAGCTGTCATCCGAATGAGAACTAATCACTGGAACATATAATCCAAATAAAGTATCCAGTGACCTTATTGAAAACATGTATTTCAAGAGTGGAACCTCTAAGACAAGGCCCAATATGAAAGTTCAAATAACCTAGCATATAAAGTTGTTGTACTTAATTTTTTAAAGAGCGGAGATAGTTTGGAAGATGGGGCTACCAGCAATTTGTTTAGCAGTCAGGTTTAGCAGGCAAGATCAAGCAAATGATTAATTACAACAAAAGGGCAAACTGTACAAACCTGTAAATATTCAGTAAAAAAAGATCCCAGCTCAGTTTTCAGAAGCTGTCTGTTTCAAAAAACAAACAAACATTTCAGGTTTGAATAAATTTTAAGACCACTGTTATGCACTGTGTTAGTGTTTGGCATACCACAAAATGATCTTATGGATTGACTTTATTGATAAAAGCAACCTGTAATATAACCTGTATATAACAAGAATTCTGTAACACTTCAGTGTGACCAACAAAAGGATCCCAAGTGTAGGTTATATGGAAGAGGCACAGAAGGGCACAAAAGATAAGATCAGAATGAGAATCTAACCAATTCAATACTTTGCTTTCAGCAATGGGTAATGAATCAGGCCATGATCATGTTAACTGATCTTTAATAATAATAATAATAATAATACTAATAATAATAATAATAATAATATCATTTTACACTTTATAGTATATATAAGCCTTCCCCAGCTTGATCTCCTTCAGAGGTTTTAGTTGACAACTCCTATCAGACTCAGCCAATAAGATTGAGGGTTCAGGTATGCTGACGGTTGTAGTCTAAAATATTTGGGAGGCACCAATTTAGGGAAAGGTGCACTATATACACATGCACGCATGCATGTTCATGCACATGCACCCACACACACATTATTTGAAAGAAAATGTACATATTTGTTCACTCTTTTCTATTGCGGCTGCATTTCAGATTTATAAAAAGCCATTGTGTTAGTTATTTTAAAATAAGGGAAATGTATTCAAATCTTTTCCCAATAATTTCAGCATCTGTTGGTTTGTTTTTGTTTTGCAGGGGTAGGCATTGGAACTACACACTGAGATGTCGTTTTCACTGATGCACCCCAAGATATCTGATTAATCACTGCCAATTCAGAAACCATTTGTAAATGCTGTTTCCAGATGGACAGCCCCTAATACTAACACTTAAAGAAAAGATGAAATAGCTACACCACATTTTTAAACAGATTCTTGGGATAAAGAAAAGAGATGTTCGAAGTAGTGGGGAAACCATGGAAAATTCTGTGAGCAAGTCAGGGCATTGTCAAAGTTTCATCTGGAAGAACCCTATCTGTTAGGGTTTTGTTGTTTTTTGGTGGGGGTTTTTGCCATAATGTACATCACTTTCCACTCATTCACATTGCCAGTGGGGGAGGGGCTCCAGCTCAGTGGCTGAGTTTTGCATGTAGAAGGTGCTAGGTTCAATCTCTGCTAGGTCCGGTAGGCGTCAGGAAAGAAACCTGCCTGAAATCCTAGAGAGCCATGACCAGCCAGTGTCAACAATATTGGGCAAGATGAATCAACGCTTGACCTTGGTGTAAGACAACTTCCTATATTTATTTTCCTGAACAAAATTAGCAGCATCGTATCATTAGATTACTTTAAAAACAAAACAAGCAAAAACAAAAGATCTGGAAGATCTTTTTTTTGGACTCCCATGTCACATCCAGTTTTATTCTCATAGTTTGCAAGCAAGAGCCTTAAAGTAAGCCTTTTGTGATATAAGATGGAATTATACCTCCAATTTTGAACAAGTAGAATAATTTTAAATAAAAAGAATGAAAATGAATATTAGCTCTTAGGAGTTTAGTAAACTGTTTGCCATAGACAAATGACTCAGAGTGAAAAACTCAACTTCTGCAAAAGAAGCAAGAGGGTCCATATATTAGGCAAGGAATGCAGTAGTGGATAGCAAAATAACTCGGTGTTGTGTGTACTAAGCATCTGGAAGCAACTAAAAATACTCCATCCTTGAGTCACTGACATCCTGCTTTGTCACAATTTCCTCTCTCTTCGTGTCTTCCTCAGTTTTTAAGTAAGCTGTCCACTCCCTCTTGCCTTTCTCTTTCAACTCCATTCTTGACTCGCTACAAATTGGCTTCTACCTTCTATATCAGTGGTTTTCAACCTTTCCACAGCTGGGGACCAGCAAAAACAGGAAAACCATATTAAGGTCCACTGAGGCAGAAACTAAAAGCATCAAAAGTTTCCAAACACAATACCCCCCCCCAAAAAGAAAATTCTCCAAAACATCCAGAAACCAAACAACAAAAAATACCAACAAAAGAATAAAATATTGATATTGGAACAACGTGGCTCCCAGCTGGCTCCCACCAAGCTGTTTTTTCCCTCCCTGGCCACCCCCAGTGGCACCAGTGCACCCTGTACGAATGCGACGCCAAGCAAGGAAGAGGTGGTAGAGCACAGCCGGCCCCTGCACTGGTCCATGGCTCCCCCACTGACCAGCAGGAAATCTACTGGGGACCAGCAATGGCCCATGGACTGGTGGTTGAAACCAACTGTTTCAATATATTATATTGAAAATGTCCTTGCTAAGATGACAGATGGTGACACTGGCAACCCAACAGCCTCTTCTCTACTGCTGTCCCTGTCCCCTTTGATGAGTCTTCCACCTTTAATACATCAGATCACTTCCTTCGGGTTTGGTTTCCTCCATGCCTTCCACTTTCCGCAACTCTGATAGTTTGTCCTCGCATCTGTTTGATAATTCATTCTACATTCTTTTCATGTAGAAAAACTCCATGTTTTCAGTGCTACCAACATGCTGATTGCACCCAGCTATACCTCTTTACATGTCTGCTCACCTACTTGGCCCTGCACGTGTAAGTGCTTGTTTCATCACCATCTCAAATTCAGCATGCTCAGGAATTAACCACCAAGAAAAATTCTCCTTTATCTCTCCCCACTGAACTAGAAAGCAAAATGAATGGAATCTTTGAATAATCTATTTTGTTTGTTCTTCACATTCAATCAATTGCCTAGCTGTTCTGCCACCCCATTACAACATGCCATCTACTTTGCCCCAACCCCTTGGGTAAAGATCTAGTTCATGTTTTGATTATCTCCCACTGCAGCTACTGCAACTGTCTCCTCTGTGATCTTGCTCTGGAATTTTCCTATGGTTTCTCATGTATCTAAAACTGTGGCCAAAATTATTTTCCTCTCCTGCAGGGCCCCAATCCCTTCTTGCATCCATCCAAAGTAAAGAATTCCCTAGTCATACTGTTTAAAGGTATACCCAATCTGGCCTCCCCAGAGAGGTCAACCTGGCACTGTCGTTATTTGTTTTTCAGAGCCAGGCTAAGACCTTTTTATTTAAAACTTATTTTAATTGTTAAATTATTTGTATTTATAAGATTTTAAATTTTTAGCCAAGATGCACTGGAGGTTTTTAAATAAATTTTTTATTGTTATATTGTTATTTATTTATGTATTTTGTTTCTGTTGTGAGCTGCCCCGAGGCTTCATTGCGATGGGGGCAGCATAAAAATGTTTTAAATAAATATTTTGCCCTATATTTCTTGTAATATTTCTAGCTTGAGCACTGCTTTTCCAGCTTTACCAGCTTCACTCTTTTAAATGACTCAGCCATTCTCCCTATAAGTGGACGTATTAATTTTAATGGTTGCAAAGTGTGTGTGAGGGGGCAGGGCTGGAAAAGTTTATTCTCAACTCCATAGTAATGCTGGCATGTTGCACAGACATACATGTTAGGCAAACAAAATGATTGGCTCTGGCAAACACAGTCTCTGTAACATGAAGCCCAACCATGTGCGAACTGGAGGTTTCCCACCTACTAAATGACCTCACTGAATTCCTTGGGAACAAGGGGATGATGGTCTTCACTTCCTGCTTATGCTGCTCTATACATAGCCATTTACACTAATGGTATGGTATACATCAGACTCCTGGACCATTGGGCATGGCAGCAAGGTGTGATGGGGATTAGCATCCAAAACATTTGGAGGGCATTAGGTTGGGCAAGGCTAGTATAATCAGTAAAATGCTAAAATAGATAAAGCAGTTATGAAAGAAGAACCTGCAAGGATGATGAATATGTCTTGGGATAAGTGGGCAATTCTGATTATTTTACTCACCTGACTCCTTCATTGAGATTGTAAAGCTCATGTTCTGCAAGCCCTTTTCGTTGGAACACTGCTATCACTCCATTATGGATACTGAAAGAAAGAAGTAAGGAATTAAGTTGCTAACAAGAAGATCCTTCAACTACAAATCCTCTATACAAAGAGATGGGGTGAAAAAACCTTGGATTTTAGGGCAAGAATTCTCAGGGAGAAAAGTTATACTACAAGTCCTGAAGTAGATTTGTGGGGGAAAGAGCCTGTTCCGAATGGTAGCTTTTCTACCTAGGAATATGGGCTGGTTCCTTCTCTCTCTCTCTCTATTGTTGTTCATCCTGTGTTCTAGTTTCTCTCCTCTACATGTAAAATTGCTCTCCTCCCCACCAATCTTTTTGCTTCTCTTCCCCAGCACTATCTCTTGGAATTCAGCAGCAGCTACTCCTAAGCATATCAGCAGTCCACACCCTCTACCCCTTTACCGTAATAATATATTTCTTCCAGATACTAACCTACAAGTGTTGGAAAAATTTGGATAAATCCTGGCAGAAAAACATTGCTTCTGTGTGCTTTTGCGTTGCAGAATCAATCTTGTACTCTTTCTCAAAAGCGCCAGCTTTCCAAGCTAAGTCACTGTTTAAAATGGCATCCCTCCCCCGCTCCTTTCTCTCACCTTTAGTTGTAAGCTACAGTAGACAGGCCATTCAGTCCAAATATACATTATATGCCTTCACAATGGGTAAGTGATCCTTGTTGGAATTCACAGTTTACTGGGAAGTATCTATTTTGCTAGCCTAGAGCGCTCCATGTGCCCTGGCCGATCAGAATGGGGTGGATGCATTACTTAGGGTCTGAGTCTAGATGAGCTTATGAGTTCATGAATAGTTTCTCAGTAGCTTGAATCTACATGTCTAAGCAGACCTGGAGATGGGTTCAAGTTACTCAACTAAAGTGTCAATACACTGCAATTAGAAATATTGTAATTTCATTGTCACTGTATGATTGGCTGATCTTCCTTTATCTGTTCTGTATGTGATGACCTCAGAATCTTATTGTAATATTTGCATTCTGCCATCAATTGCTCTGTACCTGTGTACATGACCAGGAGGGTATAAAATACCCTGTAGTTGTATTGAAATCTTGCAGCGAGTTTACCTCTGCCTGCTCGGTAATGCATTATTGTGAGTCTACCATGGGAACCTGGGCCAAACAATAAAGCCACAGATGATAGAAACATAGAAACAGAGAAAACAGAGCGAGTCAAAAGGGGCCTCCAGGGCCATCTAGTCTGACCTCCGGCACCAGCCAGCTCCGCTCACGACATGCCCACCATGTAGATGTCCAGCCTATCCTTGAACACCCACAACGATGGGGCCTCAATGACCTCTCATGGAAGCCCATTCCACACCCTCGGGGTCCTGACTGTCAGGAAGTGCTTCCTGGCATCCAAATGAAACCTTGGCTCTGATCTGAACGCTTGATCATTCCCACAAACCTGAGTTTTATTTCCTCCTCATGAACTGAAATTCCGGGATTTCTGACACAAGTTCCTACCATTTCACTCCTATAACAAGTCTTAAAAAAAGAAAAGAAAAAAGCTTTGCTTTGTAAACGAATTGATTTGACATCATGGGAGAAAGTTCAATGGGATTTACTTCCAAGTAGATAGACACATGATTGAATTCTGGCTCTGCAGCTTTCTCCTGTTTCCTAGCCTTACTTGTCTTGATATTTTTCTCTCATTTGCCCTTTCCTAACAGGAAAAGAGGGACTGCAGGTGGCGCAGTGGTTTAAACCGCTGTGCTGCTGGGCTGGGTGATCAAAAGGTCGCCAGTTCGAATCTGCACAACAGAGTGAGTTCCCGTTGCTCTATCCCAGCTCCTGCCAACCCTGCAGTTCGAAAGCATGAAAATGCAAGTAGAGAAAAAGGCACCATTTTGGTGGGCAGGTAACAGAGTTCCGTGCACTTTGGTGTTTAGTCATGCCAGCCACATGACCACGGAGACTGTGGACAAATGCTGGCTCCCTTGGCTAGGAAACGGAGATGAGCACCGCCCCCTAGAGTCAGGCATGACTGGACTTAATGTCAAGGGGAAACCTTTACCTTTATCTTTACCTTTAACAGGAAAAGAGAAGAGTAGGGGAAGTGAGTCTAACTCCCTTTGTTTTGGGCTGTGAAGTGGTGCAGGAATTAAGAAATATCTGAAGTGGCTTTCTTTGGGAGAGAAGGAAAGACTTCTTAAACCTGATTTTCAAAACAGATGTTTGCTGTGTTATACTGGGGTTTGCCAGGGAAATAAGAACAGTATTTATTTTTTAAAAAGAAACTACAGGAGACTCAGGCTTATAGAGCAGAATGTCACTTGTGCTATTCTTGCATTTTTAAAATTATGTACACTTCAATTATGTACACTGTCCTGAGAGCTGCAGCGGTATGGTGACAGATGAATGAATAGATGAAAATTCTCTCTAATTCTCTTGGAGAGACACTTGCTATGTAAAAATGCATAGCCATTGTACATGTGTTCAAAGGGTTCAGATGTCACTGTATTTCTGTGGGCTACCCACAGCCAAAATAATTTTTGGCTATCAAGACTAGACAAATAGGACAGGAAGGCGCATATGCAACCACATTTATGACAAACTGTACACCACTACTATTTATTGATCATTTCCAAAGCACGGAAGGAATGGAACAAAATTCACAAATAGGATGGTGGTCACCCAGTATAGACAGAGCAGGCTTCCCATCAGTGAGATGGGAAGAAAGAGAAACTCAAATTACCATTTCCATATGCTAAGCGGTCAGAGCAACTTGTAGTTTAATGGACAGAATATCTGACTATCTCTGGAAGATCCATTTGCAATCACAAACTCTGGATCTGTGCAGTTATAATCCACAATTCTGATTCCTTTCCATAATTTTAGTGTTTCTTGTTTAAACACTACAAACAAATACTTAAATCATGACAAAAAGTTGGGCATAAGGCAGGATGCAAAATTCCCTGTCTGAACAAGTTTGCATACATTGGTTAAGCACATTTGAATCAAACAAACCATTGTTAAGTCTTTCCAAGCCTTTCTGCTTGTAGGGTAACAAGCAGATGTCACTGATATCCTTGTGGGCACTTACAAATAGAGGGCCTGACTCAGGAAATCTGTATTTCCACTGCAAATCTGGGGTATTCATGAGGGTTCAGGCAGCTAACCATGGTTAAACAATATATTTGCATTGAGTGCCTCTCTCAACTTAACCTAAGTCACTGCAGTGTTATGAAGATAATAAAATCCCTGCATATTGTTCTGTGCTCTTTTGTATAAGGGCAGGATACATGAGGGTTAAATTTTGTAATATGTATAAAAGTAGCACTGGAAACCAGGAGAGGATACCAGCTGCACTTCTACTGCATGGTGCCACTCCATTCTGTGTCTCAATTTTTAATATCACAATTCGGAGTTTTATTTCTCCAAACATTTTTAAGAAGGAAGAGAAAACATTAACTTCAACTCCCACTCCAGAACTGGATAATCCACATATTAGCCACCACCACCACTCTCCGTCCTCCATTCAACTCTAGAGCACAGCATACTCCTGGGGAACCAAAATGCGAGGCAGAAACATGCAAAGTGGTAATAAAGTGATAAGAGGGTGAGACAGGTTGAACGCAACAGAACTCTGGATAGTGTCAATGGAAACAGAGAAGGGATGATTGACTTGTAATGCTAATATATGATGTGGCACTACATCATGAATGCACGACCTTCTTGCCCCAAGGGCCACATCAGGTGGTGCAAGGGAGCCCCTCACATACACATACATATGGTAGCATTGTGGAAGCAGCAATGCAAGCTGTTCCTGGCTCACTACAGGGAAAAGGCTCTCCCAGGACCCTTATGAGAATGGCTGCTTCTCTGCCACTAACAGTGCAAGTCTCCTCCTCTTGCCAGAAGCTGGCACTGCTCCTATTCCCAGAAGAAGTGGCATTGGTCTTTCTAATGCTACCAGCCCAGTTGCTGGGGGGAGGAGGAAGGGGGAGCTTAATCTGATGAACAGGATTGATTCTGTGCCCATAAATGGTATGTGTGTAGGGTTGTACACTAAGAACTCTTTAGCTATTAGTGGCAGGGAGCAACACTACCAATTGGTGGTGACAAACAGAGGATTTGGCAGCAAAGGCATGAGGAAAATGGAGGCTACACAGAGCTCACCTAAGAGTATGTACTACTGTTCTGCATGAATGCGCTCTGAGTTTGCATGCTCCCCCTTCCCCACTCCTTCTTTTGTAAGTTCTATTTTAATTCTTTACTTCAGTTAGTTACTTTCTCAAATACTAGTTTACCATTACATCTAAACCAATGAAGAATGCTTTATACAATGCCTTCCAACCAGGATTGCAAGAGGTTAGAGATCTTGGTTTGGAAGCATTGGGTGACCCAGTTTATCAATTACAACATAATGACAAGGAAGTCTTTGCCCATATTGCTTCTTGCACAGGATTAAGCATCTGTTGTAACTAGAAAGAAGCAGTGCAAGATCAGGGCTAAAAAGGAACAGAACCCCTAGATGTGCTGCTAGTTGCATCTCTTATTCTAGACTGTATGGGAAATAGTAGAACATTCATTCTGTTATGCTGCAATAACGCAACATATGCTTTGCACAGTGGGGAAAGCAAGCCCATGCCATCAGCACCCAAACCATGCAGCACACCTTACAGGGGCATAAAGCGCAATGAAGGGAGGAACTCAGTGCATCTATCTCCAGCATGCGCAAGTGGGAAATGGAAAAACAGAAGCCCTTTCTCCATGCCACCCCACTCCCTTGAGACTTTTCCATGGTAATAAGCTATTTTCCAAAGTAAAGGTTTCAAAATTGCAGAGAGAAGTGACACTTTTCTTTGTTTCAACAGTTGTTGTGTTTCGGTTAATTTCTGCAATGGTCGCTGGAACTTATCACTCATCACCAAAACATGCTTCCTGTTTCAGAGCACAGCCTCAGAAATTATGGTGAGCAGCAAAGAGACTGACAAGAGGTTCCAGACTCATCATACCAGTCACAGGAAATAATTACTGGCAGGCAGGCTGGGGCAGTGAGACCATTA